AGGCTTATGGGGATAATCTTTTATAAAATATTGTGTACTCCTGCACTCGTAGTAGATGTTGTTCAATTTATAACAGGATCGGTTACCATAGCTTTGACCATAGTGTTAGCATGCCTGAGTAGGCTGAGAAGGATTACCAGAAGATGGAGGTGGGGCAATAACTATGATAAGAGCTGTTTTGGGTCGCTTGTCAACATGACCTAGTCGATCTACTTCCTTTTATGCTGGTGATGTGCTATGATATTATGAATGTGTCGATAACGGGCGACAAGAAGTTCCTTGGCCAATTGGGCATGCTCGAGGGCTTTAGCATAGGTGTTTGATCTCATCATGGTCACTTGGTTAAAAATGTAGGCCCCTAAACTCTTAAGAATCTTCTAGGTCTTTTTGTTTGCTGTAGCTATGACCTGTGAGTAAATCTAGACTACTGAATGAACTTGGAGACATACTAGCTCACAATCATGCCTCTGTCATAAGTTCTGAAATTCTTCTTCTTTTTTCTTCTAAACATACACGGGAAAGAAGCTCTTGAGGAAGGTATCAATAAACTGGTCCCAGGTAATGGGAGTAGGCAGGGTGTCCTTCTTGAGATGCTACCAGTGCTCAGCCTCTTCAATGAAAATGAAGGCTATAAAGGGAGCTTTCTGCTCTTCAGTGAGCTCAATGACAGAGAATAGTTTCTCTATTACATCATCTATGCTTCTGTAACCATGGAGTCCGATCAACCATCAAAGTGAGGAGGGTTTACTTTTCAAAATTCTAAGATATTATGCAAAATAGCACAATCATTATAATAGTGGTCATTTACAGGATGAGGCTGGTCAGTGTAGTGAGCAAAATTGTGGGCCACAGCAGCGATCAAATCTTGAATTGTTCTAAACAACTCAATAAACTCTGCCCTAGTTGGATTGTCTTTATTATCAGATTTTTTTTATGGAAAGTCTCCCTATTGTCTACAAAAGAGAGAAAGGTGTTTAGAAATGATATTGTTTACTAAGGTGCAAAGATTATTTCTTCCTCTAAAAAAATTTCTTGATTTTTAAACTTAAATCCAAGACCTCAATGTAAAAGATGTCTGAACCTTACTCTAATACCAACATCCCGATACCCGATGGAGTAAAGGTGTCTGATAATATAACGTATATAAATGCATAAAACAATTATACAGTGGAAGAAAAGTCATTTTTTACAAAAATTCAATATTAAATACACCTAAAGCTAAAAAGTTGGCTAATAAAATATATAGAAGGTTTGTTCTAGCCACTTCTTTCATTACAAATTTTTTAGTCATCAAAGTACAATTCTCTATATGCATTCAAATATCCACTATACATCCACGAATGGATCGAAACAAGCTTGAAAGAGTAGCTCGGGGAGTGATTCTTCATTTTCTACATCGTTTGGGAAGAAATAGATTAAGATGAGTTCCATAAAACACAATAAGAAAAATAATATTTAAACTACATTATCAAAATTTTAAAAGATATTCACTTTTCAAAACGTGTCGTTACCTTTGAAATAAGTAAACTTACCATTAGGACCCTTGCAAAATAGGTTTATTTAAAATACCTTCGAAAGCAATATACTTTAAATTAATCAAAATACATTTTGAAATGTCAATCTCAGACATAAGCAATAAACACAAAATAGTGAGAAACATATCAAATTCAATAAACAATCTAAATATGGTTAAACAATCAACAGTTCTTACTAGAGAGTCAAATGATTCAGTTATGGATTTTACAAATTTTCATGCGAAATTGTTTTAACTAATATCAATAAAAACAGAGGAAATTTTCGACTACCACTGTAAATGAAAAATAATTCAGTTCAATATACGGCAAAGCAGTTGGAAACTATGACTATAGTTGTACTTCGCCGCTGTAACCCCTACAATCTGTAAATCATTCTCGTCATAGGGAATGTCATTACCATTCACATAGAGTGATTCCCCAACAGTTGATTTTAGTCATATTCAATTACCCCTCAACGATAACAGTTAAACAAATACCTACCAGTTTTCTAATCACACTAACCCACTAAATTTTCTTATTGAACTAAGACCAAACTGGGGTCCGCTAAATAAACCAGATCTCACAGCACGTCACATTTCATGAAGATATCTTCCATTTTTCTTCCCTACCACATACTGACACCCACAATGACATCTTTCATGATAGAGTTCTTCCTACTCTTTTTGACAGTGGGATTTCACCGCCCATTGATACACCACTACCCCCCACTCTTCCCATTACTACTTCTCGTCCTCAGCGTGTCACTAGACCACTGTCCCACTTGTCTAACTATCACTGCTACCACACGACGACCACCAAAACCCATCATCCCTTATCTTCCTTCCTCACCTATAGTAAAATCAAGCCTCATTACCTTAATTACATATTTGCTCTTTCTTCCCACATTAAGCCAGAAACCTTTACCGAGGCACTCCGGACATTAGAATGGCGAGATGTCATGAACATGGAGTTACGTGCTTTAGAGAGCAATCATACCTAGACTGTTGTTTCTCTTCCGCCAGGCAATAAATCAATTGACTGTAAATGGGTGTACAAGATCAAATATAAGGCCGATGGATCCATTAAACGGCACAAGACACGCCTCGTTGCCAAAGGTTTTACATAACAGTTTGGAATAGACTTTACTGAAACTTTTTCTCCTGTTGCAAAATTGATTATTGTGAAAATTTTGCTGTCTCTTGCTACTGTATTTAATTGGAGTCTTACTCAGCTTGATGTTGCTAATGCTTTTCTTCATGGAGATCTCGACGAAGAAGTTTACATGTCCATTCCTCCAGGATATTCTCCTCGAGAGGGGGAGATTTTTCCACAACATGCTGTTTGTCGATTGCATAAATCCATCTACGGTTTAAGACAAGCTTCACGACAATGGTTCCACAAGTTCTCCACCGTTCTGAGTTAAGAAAGATTTCATCAGCCACAATGTGATCATTCACTATTCATTAAAAATCAAGAAGGTACTTTTCTGGCTCTTCTGGTATATGTTGACGACATTGTGATAGCTAGCAATAATGAAGGAGCCGTAAATAATTTAAAATCCACATTGAGACAAAAATTCAAATTGAAAGATTTAGGGCCTCTAAGATATTTCCTTGGACTGGAAGTTACAAGAAACAATGATGGTATCACACTCTATCAAAGAAAATATGCTCTCGATTTGTTAACTGAGACTGGATATTTGGGATGCAGACCTTCTTCGATTCTTATAGAACCCAATCTTAAAATGTCAAAAGATGATAGAGAAATTCTTGAAGATGTCACAAGTTACATTAGATTAATTGGTAAATTACTGTATTTGACTATCACTCGTCCTGATATTTGCTACTCTATCAATAAGTTAAGTCAGGTTTTGGCTGCTCCTCGGACAAATCATCTTCAAGCTACGCTACGCATCTTATAGTATGTTAAGAAAACACCTAGACAAGGTCTTCATTTTCCTTCATCATCAGTCATTCAAGTTAAAGCGTTCTCGGATGCCGATTGGGGTACTTGTCTTGACACAAGAAGATCCTTGACAGTTACTGCATTTTTCTTGGATCATCCCTCATTTCGTGGAAATCAAAGAAATAACAGATTGTGTCTAGATCATCCGCAGAGGCAGAATATCGGTCAATGGCCAATACTTCATGTGAAATAGTACGGATCTTAAATCTGTTATGGGATCTGAAAGTGAGACACCAAAGATTACTGTTATATTGTGATAATTAAGCTGCACTGCACATAACTGTCAATCCAGTATATCACGAGCGAACAAAATATATTGAACTGGACTGTCACTTTGTCAGGGAGAAAATTCAAGATGGACCATTGAGGACCATGCACATTTCCTCACATAATCAGTTGGCGAATTTAATGACAAAAGCTCTTCCTTCTACACGGTTTCATAATCTTCTAAGCAAGATGGGTACAATCAATATGTATTAAGATCAGAATTAGAATTTGTGATATCTTTGGTTGTACATTCTGTTATAAATTTTTGTCTTTTTACTCTTTTGTACAGCTATTTATATTTTTCATTTCATCATTCATCAATGAGAAAATTAGTAGATTATTTATTCTCTGAAATCATTCTCTGTTTTTTAATACACTCAAAATTAGGAAAGTTATATAATTTTTTATATTTAAGTACAAATGGAACTAAACTATGTAGAACATAAGGATAAAATGAAAATATGCTTCTATCTTAACATTTTATTTTCAAAATTGCCCTTAATTAAATTGATAAATTACAAATCTATCCATTAAAAAATCAAACCCAAGCGCTGAACATTGCCGCTGCCAATGGAACTCCCACTCCCTCACTTGCACCCGCGGTTTTTCGTCGTTCTTTTTCCTTGTTCCTCTCACGTATATACAAGCAACTGTCTGTGTGTATATATCTACAGTTACTTGTGTATATATATTTTTCTTTCACATAGATATATATACACACACACATATAAAAGCATCCTGCCAATAACGCCACAAATGATGGAACTCCAGCCCAGCCCCACAACCCCCAAAAAAGCAGCCAATAGCCACGCTTTCTTTCCTGTTCTTTAAGTTCTTCCTCTAAAGCTTATACAAACAACTGAGAATACATATAAAAAATATATACATATACATATACACTATATGTACGTTGCTTGTATCACAAATATATCCATAAAAATGTATGTACATAAGAAAATACATGTCCGTATAAAAGCTAAATCTGTTCTATATCATTTTTGGTCCGATCATTTCAATATTTAACTGTGTTCACTAAATATGACTATTTTTTCAAATCAACATTTTTCCAGTTCTTTCACCAAACACCATTTAACCAATTAAAAGAGTTTTAAATCAAACTGTTTTAATAGCACTGTATCACTCAAAACACAAACACAAGCCGTACCCAAAGGGCACCTAACCAGCTACCAATAACCCAGAAACTACGACCTTTACCTGACGGTTTAACAAACTCAGAAGTAGGATACCATATAATGCACAAAAGCAAAAGTGAAATGGCTGCACATAAAATTTTTGTTCTCATATGGATAGGTTACATCAAGGTCAGTTCTGCGGACCCAGTTCCCACGTATGCTGAAAATATCTCAATTACATGCTAAAACCGAAGGTATAATATTAATCAAACAAAGAATAATACATACAGCAGCGAGAAACAAGTAGACACCATCACAGTGTGGCAGCAGTCACCATGCTAATACTACAGGAAGCCAAGGTTTATATAGATGAGTCTGCCTGCCTCTAAAACTCCAAAGTAACAATAACAGGACATCCGCTTCCGAGCACACAGTTTCAAAGAGAAGATAGAAGTCAGATTCCCAACAGCTCTAAGGTGATGCATGCACTCCTGGAAAATTTATCAATTTAAGTGGAAAGTTGGAACCTGCCACTGGGTTTTCTCCTCCATCCCTGAAATATTTCAAACATAAACACAATATCCATGTCAAGTACATATGCAGAGGATGGTAACAGAAAGAAATAAGCAGGGAAAAGAAACAAATAACTCACAAAGGCAGCATAATACACAAAGGTCAATCCCGCGAGAACAACAAATGCAATTTGGAAGACATTATACCTGTAATACAGTGGCAAATATTTAACATGACAATATGTATACGTATATGCTTGATTAGAAAAAGTTCCCCTATAAAATTATGACTCACTTGTACAAATATCTTATTCCACGAAGAGACTGCAATGTGTGGCCAAATATTTCCTGTGCAGCAGTTGCTTGAGCATAGTACCCGAATGCAGTGGCACAAAACTGAATTACACTGAGAATGCAACACAGAATACCATCAGGCAAAGAAAGAAATGTGTCTTGGGCAGTCAAAAATAAACACGTTTCTCTTTTCTTTTCTAAATAACATCAAAATGTGAGTAAAATTGTGTTAGGCTGTTGATGCAGAATAGGTATTAACTATATTCCCTAAATAGAGTAGGAACTGGATTATCATCAAACCTACAATTTATGTAAGAATATAGATATAAGGTAAATAATTTTTGTTTTAAAAAAAGTAGGTGTTTAGTAGCTTTAGTATTTCGTTTATAGTTTAAATCTTTTTAAGTTTTAAGTTTCCAATTGTATTGCCAATAGTTAAATAGGGTTTTAAATTAAAGCATTGTAAATATTTTGTAATTTCACTTCTAAAATCAGTTCAGTTATCAGTAAATTACACGTCGAGAATTTCCTCAATATTCCTAGTTGTAACTTCCAAGAACTTGACACATCAGTTCATCAATTTATTGACTGTTCTACTAGGAGGGTTTCATACACCTAACCGCTTTTATGTTTCGATTATTTTTTCTTCTGATGAGATCCACAGATCTGGAAGTTTGCCAAAAATCTTTTAGGATGTCCCAAGATCGTGTTTCTCGATGTTCAACACTTCAAAACTCGAAGTTGAATTCTCTCCCACCAGGAGCAGATGATCCAGAAACGACATGAAACAGATTTCCAAATAGAATAGGACTGATATTTCTATATAATCTACAATTTATCAGAGTATGGATAAATATTATATTGTTCGTGGCTTCAATATTTTTTATAATTTACAATCTTTTAAGTTACAAGTTGCTATTAGATTAGCATTTTAAATTGAAGCACTATAAATATTTTGCAATTTCACTTTTGAGATCATTCCGGTTATCAGTAAACTACTTTGAGAACTTTCTTCATATTCTTAACTGCCATCAAATTGGTATGATCCTTAAAAATTATTAAACATGATTAAAAAATTCAAGTGCAATAGTTCATCAAAATCCTTAAGTTAAATTAATGTTTTTAAGCATGATAGTTAAATTAATCTTAAAACTCTTAAATAGTTAAGTTAATTTAATTTATCCTATATTGGTTTTTGAAAAGGAAGAAAAGAACTTATTTCAAGAAATGAAAATAACTGAAATTTTCACATAAAAAAGTTATTTTCCCTTTTCAGAAGTTAACAACCAAACAAATAGGTTTTACAAAATTTAAAAATAGAAAAAGGTGTTTTCTTGTACCAAATACAGTTGAATTCTATAGAACTGCCAACATGATTTCACTAGCTATTTTCTCTCGTTGATCTTCCTTTATCTGAGCCAGATGGATTTGGTCCAATTCAAAAGAAGTAGGCTCCATTTGGTACATGAAAGTGATTTTTAGTTTTTAATCCTAGAAGTATATGTATCTCATTCACAAAACCATAGCAAGTAGTTAATAATGATGCAAGTAATAATGAAAATGATGGAATCAAATAATTTTAAAAAGTTATACTTGGTATTCTAAAAAACTATTTTTTATAGAATAACCATTCCATAAATATACAAGTTTCACATACTTCTATGAATAAACACAAATTTAGAAAATGAAACTAAAAAATTGTTTTCATGCACTAAACTGAGCCCTAAACTTCCAGAATTGACCACTTTCTTGTGTCTCCTTGTTTTGATTCACAGGTTCCAGATTTTGCACAAAAAATATTCTCTCTTTGTCTCTAATCATTTTCCTCTCTGTTTAGAGGTGGGTGGCATTTAGTGAGAATCCTGTTGGATAGGAATTGAAAACAAATGGCTGAGAGTGCCTAATTGTTCAGATCTGATCAAAAAGTGATGAGAAAAATTTGAGGGTAGAGACTGTTAGCTTGAGAATTGCCTAACGGCTTGAAAAATTAAACCAAATGTCAAACTGTGGAGTACAAATGGTGGCGGGAACATGGAGGCTACAACGAATTTGTACAATGCCCACAATTGATTTCGCTAAGCGTCTTCGCTCGAGGAAATAGCACGGAAACAAAGATCTATGCCTAAGTGGATCAAGGAAGAGGATAAGAACATTAGATTCTTCTATGGTCTAGCAATTCACCATAGAAGATGCAAGTTAGCTGAGAGGATGGAAATTTAAGGGCAGTGGGGAGACTATGTTAGCTTGAGAATTGCCTAATGGCTTGAAACATTAAACCAAATGCCAAACTGTGGAGTGCAAAAGGTGGTGGGAACATGGAGGCTGCAACGGATTTGTACAATGCCCACAATTGATCTTGCTAAGCTTCTTCGCTCGAGGAAATAGCACGGAAACAAAGATCTATGCCTAAGTGGATAAGAACATTAGATTTTTCTATGGTCTAGCAATTCACCATAGAAGATGCAAGTTAGCTGAGAGGATAGAAATTTAAGGGCAGTGTGGTCTAGGGTGATAATGCGATTAGGGAGGCCTCAAAAGAATTTCGATGATTTATACAGTGATTCTTCATCTTGGAGATCGACATAGATTGGTATTTTATGCCTTGTATGGAAGGGATAGAGATTGGCCCAAAATATCAAAAGACCTTTTTCTGAGGATGAAATTTGGGAAGCCCTACTGAGTGCAAAGGTGAAAAAGAATTTTTATCTTTACTCTAATCCTACTTAGGACAAGTTACTTAGGAAGCATTCTAAATATCTTTATAATTTCACTTTTGAGACAGACTTTAGTTTTTCAATAAAACAATTTGAGAGTTTATCAATTTTTAAGTTGTGAAATGCAATCAAATCCGTTCGTATGATGGTTAGGACTTCTTATATATGATGTCCAAAGGTTGTCTAGGTTTTCATTCCTAAATCTCTATATAGGCAAATAATCCATTGTCCTAAATTAGTTTGGCCATTGCAAGCACACCCTCTAATTCTCTGTTCCTTTGCTTCTGATTCTAGTCTAGGTTTTTTTTAAAAAAAAAATAAGTGCTTCTAGTCAATGTAGCTAAAAAAGTTTTAGGATATCCATGTCATTTCTTGTGTGAGGACTCTATTTGATCAGGGAAGATTCCATATTGTGGCTCGGAAGTATTGGCAGCTAAAAGAATAATAAAGAGGTCCAGGAAACAAAGAAACAAAGAAAGAAATTAATAAAATAAACTAAAGGAGCATAACGGCGCATAAAACAACCAAGACAAGATTCAGAAATCAAAGCAAAGAAGAACCCCACTCCAAAGCACTGGGAAAGGCCATGAGAGCGCTAGGACAGGCATTGAAATGGAAATGCGTAACCATGTGTTTCCACGTCATGCAGCTAACGTGTCTCCTGTGCATTTACAATGCGCACACTGAACTGCCAAGACAGAATCATCATGCCCACCCAGCTGCAGTTGAATGGTGCCAGAAAGCATCAGGAAAGCTCCCGTGGCATAACTACATAGACCTAAGCCCAAAAGCAGTGAACTATTCCAATTGGAATTCTCTTCCTTACTCTGCCTCAGTGATTTATTCCGCTTCTAGATCTATTTTGCTTGCCTAATTTAAACATTAATTCCCCATTTATTCAAACTCTATTTCTAATATTATCTCGGACTTGGATCAAGATTAATTATAGGCTATGTGCATGATATAACTTGGACTCTAATTTTGTATTCTAATTAATTTAAGACTATAGAATATATATCTTATTCATACTTTAACACTTTTATCTCTAAAAAGGTGCATGTATTGACACCAAAATAATCAGAAAGTAAACTCGAAATTTCCAATTTTCCTCTCTTATTTCCTTATGGTATCAGCCATAGTAGCTTGGTAATTTCATCTCCTTTCTCCGTCCTCAATCAGCTGTTGCAACAACGCAATCAGCTCCTACACCTCAAACTTCCTCTGACTGCACATTTTCTATTAAGCTTACTAGCTCAAAGTACCTCATGTGAAAAGGTCAATTCATACTCATCCCAAATATCAAAATATTTAAAATTAAATGGTACATCTTCCCCTCCCTCTCAATTTTTATCTGACCCTTCTACTTGGCATCGAAAGGATCAGATGCTTTTTGATTGGCTTATCTTCTCTGGCACCGAAGATGTCCTTTTACTATGTCATTGAGATGGATACTTCCTATCAAGTATGGAATGGCTTAGATAAATTTTTGGTTCTAGCTACCAAATGATGCAATTACAATTTCATCTGACACTTCAAGAGCTTCAGAAGGAAGATAAGTCAGTCTTCACATACTTGATACTTGCAAAAGGCCAAAATGATTGCTGATGAGCTTGCTGCTGTACGCTGCCCCCTTTCCCCCATCAAGTTCAATGTTCCCATCTTTCATAATCTAGGACAAGAACATCATTCCTCGAGGGCAACCCCTCAAGATAAGTCTAAAACCAGTTTCCTTTCATGAATTACATTGCTACTGCTTGGCTCTTGAAATTCTTCCTAAATCTTCTCCAGAGCCCCCTCATTCAAGCAATGTGACTATTAAGTCTTCTTTTGAGGGGCCAAGCAAGTATTCCAATTCTTCTACCCCTAAAGCTTAGAATTATTCTAAGAAAAAGAACAAAGCCTGTCAAATTTGTCGTCTGTCAATCACACAGCTTATAATGTTAGAGAATGTACAATCCATAACCTAGCATTTCTAATCAAACTTTTAGGTAATACCTTCAAACAGTAAGTCAATGTTGTCTACCTCAATGGCTCATCAATTTTAGGATCCTATCCTAAGCAATAGACATGGTACTGTAGAAAATATAGGAAAATAAATTTGTTTCTTTTTTGTTTTGCTTAGTGGAGAGAATTTCGGAATGGTTATAATCATTTCTGCAATTTCTTCTTCCCATAAATTTGTTAGGAAGATTTGTTAGGAAGTTGTTATTTTTGTTGCTTTATTTTCTATAAATTGTTGCACCACTAAGAATGAAATTAAGACAAGTAGAAGAGGATTTTCCATTCTTCAAACCTTCATGGTAGCAGAACGACTCTGATCCAGGAGAATCATCTCGATTGAGCCGCAGTCAAAAATGGCCTCAGGAGAACTACCGTCTTCTCCACCCGAAATTTCATC